TATAGGCGCCGAGCCTCTTTTATTTTTTTTTTCCTTGAATATTTTCAATTCATGATTTGTTGAATCCAAGGATACAAAACTCACAGATGTGGAGGGCCAACTCGACTATAGCGTCCATTATTATTATAGACTTACTTTAAAAAGGATTTCTAGTTTTCATTAAGGACAAAAAAATAAGGTAGAAAAAACCTCATTGTGGTAAATCTCAGATTAAAATCATAATCTTTACAATAATGACAACTACAACCAAAAAATGGCCAGGCATTGTGGCAGGCGCCAGTAGCCCCTGCTACTTGGGAGGCTGAGGCAAGAGAATCACTTAAGTCCAAGAGTTTGAGGTTGCAGTGAGCTGTGACTCCATAGACTCTACCAAGGGTGACGTAGTGAGACTCTGTCTCAAAAAAAAAAAAAAAGGCATGCCACACAAATAAGTTGCTTTTAGGGAGAGCCACCTAATAAAAAATGCCTTGTGAGTTTAAAACTTTTGATTTAAGGTGGTGCCTGTGACTCAAAGGAGTAGGGCACTAGCCCCATATGCCAGAGATGGTGGATTCAAACCCAGCCCCGGCCAAAAACTGCAAAAAAAAAAATTTTTGATTTAACTCATTATGGTAAAGCAATTGATGTATTTCTAAAACTTCAGTTTGATGCTTAGTTTTGAAGTGAAAAAGATAATTCATAAAGATGAAGGAACTACATCATTATTTCTGCTTCGTAACTCACGACTAGTCCTGTTCACCAACCACGCTAAATTTCTGTTGTTAAAATTCAGACTATATTTGGCTCAGTGTCTGTAGGACAGCAGCTATGGTGCCAGCCTCATAAACCAGAGCTGGTGGGTTTGAATCCAGCCTGGGCCTGCCAAATAACTGACAAGTATGACCAACAAATAGCCAGGCGTTGTGGTGAGCACTTGTAGTCCCAGCTACTTGGGAGGCTGAGGCAAGAGAATCGCTTAAGCCCAAGAGTTTGAGGTTGCTGTGAGCTGTGACGCCATTGCATTCAACCGACAGCGACATAGTAAGACTGTCTCAAAAAAAAAAAAAAATCAGAATATATTTTTATCTTCGACAACTTTAAATCACTTATTCTTATAAAACTCACCAGAAGGTAATTTTTATATTTTTAATAAACATGCTTAAGACCCACTAAAATTCTTCATTTGAAAAATTTGTAAACAGGTTAGAAAATATTCCAAGTTTTTAAAATGGGAACATAGAAAGGTTTTTCCAGGATACTTGGTATCATTTTTGACAGTTAAAATTATGTAACAATGAGGTCTGGCATGGTGGCTCATGCCTATAATCCTAGTACTCTGGGAGGCTAAGATAGGTAGATCGTTTGAGCTCAGGAGTTTAAGACCAGCCTGAACAAAAATGAGACCCCATCTCTATTAAAAATAGAAAAAATTAACTAGCCTAGTGTAGTGACCATGTCTGTAGTTCCAGCTACAGGGGACTGAGGTAAAGGGATTGCTCAAGCCCAAGAGTCTGAGGTTGCTGTGAGCTATGATGCTACAGCACTCTATCCTGGGCAACAGAGCAAGACTCTGTTTCCAAAAAAAAAATAAAATTACATAACAGTGGAGAAATTTCATACATACAGTCTCATAATTATTCTTTCATCACATTTTCTTAAAAGCAGCTGCTTTTTCACCCATTGGTAACTTTGTTTGATTTAGATTGAAATTGATCTTTAACTCCAAATCTAACTAAGACCCTCCTTGCTCTAGAGAGAAGCTTCAGCTTCAAAATGTTTGAAGCTTCAAACGTTTACATGTTTTTCACTTGTGTTGGCATCATTGGTATTTCCTCTAATTGTGGTTTCTCTACAGAAATCTTTAAAACTGCTTATTTCTTTTATGAAAGTACGAGTAGTTAAAGGTAGATTTTAAAAATACGTCATTTCATATAAGTGAGTAAGGTAGAGCCCCGGAGTCCAAGACTGCAGTGAGCTGTGATGACTCCAGCCTGGGTGACAGGGTAAGACCCTATCTTTAGAAGAATAATATAGTAAGAAAGCAAGTGAGGGCACCTTGGCAGCCCTGGAGTTTGGGGACCAAAGGATCATTTAGCATAAATGAGGGTGTTAGTATCAAGGCTTAATTTCTTTGGCTTTTTTTTTTTTTTTTTTTGAGACAGAGTCTCAAGCTGTCACCCTGGGTAGAGTACCATGGCGTCATAGCTCACAGCAACCTCCAACTCTTGGGCTCAAGTGATCCTCTTGCCTCAGTTTTTCTATTTTTAGTAAAGACGAGGGCTCACTTTTTGCTCAAGCTGGTCTGGAACTTGTGAGCTCAAGCAGTCCACCCACCTTGACCTCCCAGAGTGCTAGGATTACTGATGTGAACCACTACATCCCCCCCTTTTGCTTTTAAAATAGAGGCATTCTGATATTTTCTTTTTGTGTTGATAGTGGATCATCTTGTACTTTGGAAACCCCAGCTTTAGACTGACCAAGGCACCCTTAAAAATAGTATAAAAATAGCTAGATGGATTAGCAAATCCCAAGGCTTCAAATTTGACTTGGATATTGACTCCCCTAGGTAGCCACCCGCTACTCAGCAAGCATAAGCCTCATTTTATGTCATCTGAAAAATGACACTAACCATTCTGCTTACTTGCTAGGGTTGTGGTGAGGACAAAAGAAGATTGTGTAGGTACTGCTTTAAGCCTGGTGCCTTGCTAGCATTCAGCTCTCACTGGGCTAAGCACTATCAGTGGTATGTTCATAATCTGCTGTCCACTTGAAGGTGAGTTGCTATGGCACCAGGCGAACACCATCAGGGTGGATTTCGCTGGTTTGAGGTTTCTGTTTGCAAACCTTAACTTAAGTGACAGTGAAGCCAGACAGTGAAGCCAGACACAGTGCCTGTAATCCTGGCACTCTGGGAGGCTGAGGCGGGTGGATGGCCTGAGGTCACAAGGTCGAGATAGCCTGAGCCAGAGCAAGACCTCATCTCTAAAAAATATCCAGGCATTGTGGTGGAAGCCTATAGTTCCAGCTACTTGGGAGACTGAAGCAAAAAAATCACTTAATAAGCTCAAGAGTTTGAGTTTGCTGTGAGCTGTGATGCCATGGCATTCTACCCAGGGCAACTGGGTGTGACTCTGTCTTGAGCTGAGACTCTATCTCAAAAAAAAAAAAAATGGCAAGAGAAATAAAGCCACATTTAACATACCAAAAAAAAAAAAGAAGAAAAAGAAGTGACAGTGGAGACAGTACAGCTTTATAGTTGTTTTTTCCTGCTTTCAATGCTGTTGAATTTCAATTCCTGTTTTTCAATGCTTTGACATGTAGTCTAGTATGAAGAATTAGCACAGGCCACTCTGTATATACTAATAACTTTTTTTAATACTTCAGGAATAGTACAGAAAGAGACATCGTAAAACATCTCCTAGGACTGAAAATTGAGCACAGACCCTGTTTGGATCAAGTCAGTTCTTTGAACCTGAAAGATGACTGCTGAATCAAGGGAAGCCACAGGTCTGTCCCCTCAGGCTGCACAGGAAAAGGATGGTATTGTAATAGTGAAGGTAGAAGAGGAGGATGAGGAAGAACACATGTGGGGACAAGATTCCAGCCTGCAGGAGACACCTCCCCCAGACCCAGAAATATTCCGCCAACGTTTCAGGCGCTTCTGTTACCAGAACACTTTTGGGCCTCGAGAGGCTCTGAGTCGGCTGAAGGAACTTTGTCATCAGTGGCTGCGACCAGAAATAAACACAAAGGAGCAGATCCTAGAGCTGCTGGTACTAGAGCAGTTCCTTTCCATTCTGCCCAAGGAGCTCCAAGTCTGGCTGCAGGAATACCGCCCAGATAGTGGAGAGGAAGCCGTGACCCTTCTAGAAGACTTGGAGCTTGATTTGTCAGGGCAACAGGTAATATGAGGAGAAAGTTACTGATTTAAAGTGAGGGTTTACAGTAGTAGTCCTTGTGGTGGTTTTTTGGCCTGCTCTTTCTAGATATTAAAAAGTAAGGTGTTCTGGGGCAGCACCTGTGGCTAGTGAGTAGGGCACCAACCCCATATACTGAAGGCAGTGGGTTTGAACCCCACCCCAGCCAAACTGCAACAAAAAAATAGCCAGGTGTTGTGGCAGGCACCTGTAGTCCCAGCTACTCAGGAGGCTGAGGCAAAAGAATTGCCTAAGCCCAAGAGCTAGAGGTTGCTGTGAGCTGTGACAGCATGGCACTCTACAGACGGTGACAAAATGAGACTCTGTCTCTAAAAAAAAAAGAGAGAGAGAGAGAGTAAGGTGTTCTGGTTTCTCCTCCCTGCATCTGCTGGCATACTTATGGTCTTTTCTTTAATATTTTAATTCATATTTTAAAAGTGATTTACCCACAAACCAACCTGTGTCTTTAGGTACCAGGCCAAGTTCATGGACCCGAGATGCTCGCAAGGGGAATGGTGCCTCTGGATCCAGTTCAGGAGTCCTCGAGCTTTGACCTTCATCACGAGACCACCCAATCCCATTTCAAACATTCATCTCGGAAACCCCGCCTTTTACAATCACGGGGTAAGAAGCAAGGTTTCGTTTGGGGGGAAAGAAGTAAATTTATTCAGGCTGTGAGTGCCTTCTCTATTGCTGAGTGCCTATAATAAAGGAACATACTTGTTTTTGTTATTATATACTATTGTCATTATTACTAAATACAATAGTACTTCCATTGTTGACCACCTCCTACATTGACCTAATTTTCATGACTGGATATACATCACATATCAGTATAATAGGGCTAGTTCCTTATGCTGACCACCTCCTACATTGACCAGTTTGTTACAGTCCCTTGGGTGATCAACTTACAGAGATTGTGCATATACAATTAGGGAAAATATGATTTACAGACCAATCTCAGGAGTTAAATGATATTACTAAGGAGGTAAATGAACTGTGCATAATGCACTTAGTGGACATTATTTATTGAATTGTTAGCATTCCAGATACCTGGCACATGTTTAATGGGAAAGTATTTGGAATAGATATTATTTCCAGCCTAGGTTTTAAGGCACTCTTAATATCATAAATTATATTTAAAGGGATCATAAATCTTAAGTAAAGATCCATTTTATTTAAAATATTAAAAATATTGTATAGCATTGCTCTTTTATAGGTTATCTTCAAAAATTTCAAGCAGGGAGGTGCCTGTGGCTCAGTGAGTAGGGCACCGGCCCCATATACCAAGGGTGGCAGGCTCAAACCCCGCCCCGGCTGAACTGCAACCAAAAAATAGCTGGACGTTGTGGCAGGTGCCTATAGTCCCAGCTAATCGAGAGGCTGAGGCAAAAGAATCACTTAAGCCCAGGAGTTGGAGGATGCTGTGAGCTTTGATGTCATAGCACTCTACCCAGGACAATAAAGTGAGACTCTGTCTCTACAAAAAAAAAAAAAATTTCAAGCAATGGGAAAAGAATGGAAAAACTTTTTGTGGGGTTTGAGGGACATGAGAAAAAAATCAGTTTAGGGTCATATTAATAAAAATCAGTGTTGAAAGCCAGATGTGGTGGCTCACTCCTGTAAGCCTTGTACTCTAGGAGCCAGTAAATTGCTTGAGCTTAGGAGTTCAAGACCAACCTGAGCAAGAACAAGACCTTGTCCCTAAAAATAGCCATGTATTGTGGCAGGCACCTGTGGTCCCAGCTTTTTGGAAAGCTGAGGCAAGAGGATTGCTTGAGCCCAAAAGTTTGAGGTTGCTATGAACTATGCCGCCATGGCCCCCTACCCAGGGCCACAGAATGAAACTCTATCTCAAAAAAAAAAAAAAAAAAAAAAAAAATCAGTGTTGCTTTTTTTCCCTTTGAGAGAAAGATACAGTATCTTTGTCCGATTTTTAAATCAAAGTAGGTGCGTAGAATGTCAGTAAAAACAATGAAATGCTAAAAGTGTAGTCATACATTATTTAGTGACATTCTGAGAAATGTATCCCTGGTTGATTTGGTCATCGTGGGAACATCAGTGATCAGTGCATACTTTACACAGGCTTACATGGTAAAGCCTATTATACACCTATGCCACATCCTGCTGCACAGCATATTACAGTACTGAATAATGTAGGCAGTTGTAACAGTGGTATTTGTGTATCCCAACATATTTCAACATGGAAAAAGAACAAGAAAAACCATATAAAAGGTAAAAAATGGTATAACTGCATAGGGCATTTACCATGAATGGAACTTAGGACTGGACATTGCTCTGGGTGAGTCAGAGTCTGAGTGAATGGTGAGGGCCTTGGATATTATTGTTCAGTACTGTAGACTTTATAAACACTGTACACTAGGTAGGCTACACTAAATTGTTGAGGTTTTTTTTACTTTGTGAACTTCTAAATTTTTTTAACTTTTCAAATCTTGTAATAACACTTAAAATATGGACACATTGTATAGCTGTACAAAAATATTTAAAATTTAAACAAATTTTTAGAATATTTTTGCTTTTTATAATTACAAGATTGTACACTTTAAAATAATAATAAAAGTATACTGTAGTATAGTATAGTAAATACTTAAACCAGTAACATTGTTCCTTATTATCATTATCAACTATTCCATTCAGTACATAATCGTATGTGCTGGACTTTTATACAGCTGGCAGTGGAGTGAATTTGTTTATACTAGCATCACCACAAACATGAGTAATGCATTGTACTACCATGATGTTACTAGACAATAGGAATTTTTCAGCTCCATTGTCATCTTACAGGACAACTGTCATTGACTGAAATGTCATTATGCGGCACATGATGAGAAAAAGAGTTGATTTTGTTCTGTTTGGGTTTTTTGTAGAAACAAGGTCTCACTGTGTTGCCCAGGCTGATCTCAAACTCCTGGTCTTTCACAGTCTTGTCATTTCAGTCTCCCAAAACGCTGAGCCTATAGTCTTGAGTCACTGCACCCACCCATTGTTGTGGGTTTCTTTGTAATGACATTTACTGTAGAAATATTAGATCATGGAGCTTAAGCAACCATTCTCTCTTCCAAGCATCCTGAAGAACAACTACTAGACACATGCTGGAGAAGCTCTTGTAAAATGACGCTGTAGTACTTAATTTGATCTCTGTTTATGTTGTTCTAGGGCTTGTGGGGTTTTTCCACACTCCATGAGCAGGAGTCACAGAGGGTAACATTAGGAAATTGGGAAGATATTCACGATCTTAGGCACCAAATTAGATGTTGAGGATGCCAGAATAACAGTGTTTAGAGACCCTGGTACATAAAGTCGTAATGTAGTAAACAGTTTTGTAATGAATTGAGGCATATACATTAATTCTTAGTTTCCTCTTTGTCCTGTTCATCTTCCAGAGTGTTTCCTAACTCTCAGAAGCTTAAAAAATTAGGTAGCTCCTGTTACTCAGTGGTTAGGACATTGGCCACATATACCCAGGCAGACCGTTCGAACCTGGCCTGGGCCTGCTAAACAACAATGACAATTGCAACAAAAAAAATAGCCGGGGATTTTTTTGTGGTGGGTGCCTGTAGTCCCAGCTATTTGGGAGGCTGAGGCAAGAGAATCTCTTAAAACCCAAGAGTTTGAAGTTGCTCTGAGCTGTGTAGCCAAGGCATTCTACCAAAGGCAACAAAGTGAGACTTTGTCTCAAAAAAAAAAAAAAATTAGGTACTTGGGCCAAGTATGGTGGTTGATGCCTGTAATCCCAGCACTTTGCAGCGGGAAAGCAGGAAGATCACTAGAGGGCAAGAGTTCAAGACCAGCCTGGGCAACGTAGCTGAACCCCATCTGTACAAAAATTTAAAATTAGCCAGACATAGTGGTGTGCGCTTATAGTCCCAGCTACTTGGGAAGCTGAGGTAGAGGATCACTTGTGCCCAGGAGTTTGAAGTTACAGTGAGGTATGATCACACCACTGCATTCCAGCCTAGGCACCACAGTAAGACACCATCTCTAAAAAAATAATAATAGGTACTTGATCTTTTTGTGCATTTGCTTTCAGGGGTGTCCAACCTGCAGCCATGGGCCACATGCAAATTATCTGAGAACTATTTTGCTTATCTTTGGTGTCAGATATTGCAAAAAAGTATACACAGACCTTTTCTTTTGCTCCTCAGCTTTCATTAATGTTTGTATATTTATTGTATGCCCCAAGACAACTCTTAACTCTTCCCAACGTGCAGCAGAAAAGTAAGAATTGAAATTGTTACTTGGTATGAAGAAGGAGAGGAATTTAGTTGTACAGTTTAAAATTTTTGTAATTCTTTGCAATTAGTGTGATCATGTGTTTGTATCAATCCATACTTTTATATATTACTTGTAATGAACCATGTATATATTTTATCAAAAATATATATTTATTATGGCCAAATGAGGGAGAAAAGCTGAGGGACAAAAAATGGCCAAAACTTACCCCGAAGTTAGAAGACTCCTTCTTTCCTTGCCTTTCTAGGTATTACTACTAAAGATTATAAAGCTATGTTGCTTTTTTTTTTTTTTTTGCAGTTTTTTGCTGGGGCCAGGTTTGAACCCGCCACCTCCGGTATATGAGGCTGGCGCCCTTCTCACTGAACCATAGGCACCCACCCAAGCTGTGTTGAATATTCACAAGCGTAAATGTAAATGGAATTCTCATTTCTTGTTCTTTGGACTGGAGGAACCTGACTTGAATCATGGCCTGTTACCCGCTTCTATAGCTGAGCATGGGAAGCTGGCTTCTAGACCTGGCTTTGCCATTCTTAACTGAGTGATATTAGGGAAGTTATTTGCCCTCTCAGGGACATGATTTCTCTCCTTTAAAATAAAAGGATGGACCAGGTGATTTTGAAGGCTGTTCTAGGATTTCTTGTGACTCCTGCTAAAGAGCAGAGGCCTTAGGAAAACCGAGGCTCTGCTCTCTCTTTTTTCTCTGGAGTTCTGTATTTGATAGTTAACCATTGAATAATGAACATGCTGGTGCAAGAAAGAGAATGCCCTGGACCCTTTGAACAGAGCTGATTTACTCACAGCTCCTTTCTCCTCCCTCAGCTCTCCCTGCCACCCATGCTCCTGCCCCTTCTCATGAGGGAAGTCCCAGAGACCCGGCGATGGCATCTGCACTGCTCACAGCAGATTCCCAGGTGAGCTGTGGGCCCCCACCCTCCTAAGTCCCTTGTATCTTCCTGGAGCTCTCTTGGCAGTCTCCATACAGGCCGCTCACTCCGGATCCCCCATTCCCCACCCCCATGTAGTGTCCACCACAAACCATCCCTCTATCCCTCAGGCTCTGTTCACCTTTACTTCCCCAGCATCGTGTATCTGTGTAGTCAGCTCTGTCTCTGACTCAGGTTTGGGCAATGGGATTAGCCCTGAGTTTCGGGGAAACTGAGCATGGGGATCTCCTGTTATTTCAGGCAATGGTGAAGATTGAGGACATGGCTGTGTCCCTCATCCTGGAGGAATGGGGATGTCAGAACCTGGCTCGGAGGAACCCCAGTAGGGACAACAGACAGGAGAATTTTGGGAACGTGTTTTCCCAGGGTAAGACTGATGCAGGCTTATTGTCTGCCATGATTGTTTTACCTCTTCATTGGGTAGAAGATCTCTGATGGATTCAGTTGAGTGTGGGTAAGGATTCAGAGACTGCTAATCCCCTTTCTTCAGACCAGATAAAACATCGTGTTCATTTAACTCCAAAAGCATGGTTCTGTGACCCTGATTCTACACAGATCTTTTATCTCTCCATAGTTTTTGCCTTTTTTTTTTTTTTTTTTTGAGATAGAGTCTCTCACTTTGTCATCTTTGGTAAAGTGCGGTGGTGTCATAGCTCATAGCATCCTCAAACTCCTGGGCTTAAATGATTCTCTTGCCTCAGCTTCCCAAGTAAATAGGACTATAGGCACCCACCACAACACCTGGCTTAGTTTTTCCTCTTCGAGATCAGAAATAAACTCCTCACCTCTTCAACCACTCAGCTACATGGGAGGATTCTATTTCTCTCCCCATAGGTTAGAGAAGGCCAAAGGAATTAATCGTCTGTCTAATCTTAACCAATTATCCCCAGACCACGTCCCTGAAACTACCAACCATCCTTCCTTGGGCTTTTTGTCTTCTTCCATCCTGAGTGCTGCTCAGAAACAGCTCTTTGTAATTCCACAAGTTTGTGCCTGGACGTCCCTTGTGAACAGGATCCTGGGTTTTAAACCTAATGATGGTCTTCTGAGAGGAGCTCTGGATCCTTGGAGTGTAATAAAAAGTAAAAAATTGAAGAAGCATCAACCAGGAGAGATAAGCTGACATAGTTGACAGAATTCACATTTGTCTCTGCTAGATCTTAACCCCTAGAAGACAGTACCACAAAGAAGCCCTCAAATGAACATAGTAATAGGGAAGTCTACGGCAAGTTTTGTCTTGAATTGTAGCTATGAATGGGGTTTATAGTTTCTCTTAGTACTTGCTCTTTGTGCCAGATGACTATTAAGCCAAAGAACTGGCCCATGTTTATGAGCTGAGTGTTACCCATACCGGTAACTTTAAAAAACACTGAGAATAGTTTGGAAACTATCCAAATAATCAAGGACCTTGGCTTAGAAATTAAAAGAAGTGAACCAATTTCTTTTTTTTTTTTTTTTTTTGTCACCCCTGGTACAGTGCTCTGGTATCATAGCTCAAAGCAACCTCAAACTCTTGGGCTCAAGCAGTTCTCTTGCCTCAGGCTTCCAAGTAGCTGGAACTGTAGGCACCCGCCACACCCAGGTATTTTTAGAGACAGGGTCTTCTCTAGCTCAGGCTGATCTTGAACTCATGAGCTCAGGCTATCTGCCTGCCTCGGCCTCCTAGAGTGCTGGGATTACAGGCATGGGCCACTGTACCCAGGCTCAATTTCTTTTTTCTTATAACTGGATTATTATTGAGTTTCCTCAATCATTGCATTTTAGGGCCTCTTTGTCTGGACCCTCTTAAAAGGTGTCCTTATGCCCAGTAAATAGAATTGGTGTACTCTAGGTGTTTTCCTAGACAAATATAAAACATATAAGATATGTATTTATATAATACAACTATCGAACGATTTTTAATCTTAAAAGCAAAGTGACACACAGAAAATAGCCGTGTACAATAAAAATTAAATTCCAATGTTTTAATCTGCTGATTGCTAAAATGAGGGGTTTAGCTCTATACTTGTAAGGTTTTGTTTTCTTCTATTATCTCCTTCATTAGCTATCTCCAGAATTATTTTCAATTTCTTTTCTTTTTTTTTTTTTTCTTTTTTTTGAGACAGAGTCTCACTTTGTTGTCCTCGGTAGAGTGCTGTGGTGTCACAGTTCCATAGCAACCTCCAGCACTAGGGCTTAGGCAATTCTCTTGCCTCAGCCTCCCAGTAGCTGGTACTACAGGCGCCCGCCACAATGCCTGGCTATTTTATTGTTGCAGTTTGGCCAGGGCCGGGTTTGAACCTGCCACCCCTGGTATATGGGGTGCCCTACTCACTGAGCCACAGGTGCCGCCCTCAGTTTTTCTGTTCTCAGTTATTCTTGGTTGTCAGTTGGTGAAGATTTTATGTTTACTAATGCTCCAACCAACTTCTCCACCACCCTTCTCTTACTTCAACACTGTCAGCTCTGTGCTGCTCTTTGGTGGAAGAAACTATTTCATGTGTCTGAAAGTCTCTGTACCCTGCCAAGTTCAAAGCAAGTTTCTTGTTTTGCCCATTAATCATTAGCTTGTTGATGTGTAAAATACAGAATTAAAGGAGTATCTGCTTCTCTTTTTTAAACTATACTTCTTTCTGCTAATACCACTAACCATTTTTAACAAAGACCTGTTCCCTTTTTTTTGAATATTTGTTAGAAATGAAACATAATTTTTTAAATGTGTTAAATTTGTGTTTAAATATTATCAAGTAATAGAATCATCGCCTCTAAAGTCCCTTAATTCATTATCCCTTCCCTTCTTCCTTGACTGGTTCCTTCCCTGAGCTCATTCTCAGTGGGTTTCCTTATTCTCACCCTCTCCCCGTGCTTCCATTATTTCGTCGTCTTTCCACTGCTCTTATTTTCCAACACTATTCCCTTTTGTTCCTGTTTTTTCTTCTATTTTTCTCCTATTATATCTTGGATTAATACTGTGAAGTCATTTTGCAGGCTTGTAGAAGCTTCCTAGAAAATAATGTCACCTGATTAACTTACATATTCAAAAGAAGAAGGTGCTATTTGAATTTTCTGTTTATTGTATCAGGTTGTGAAAGCAGGAATGAAAATGAGGAGTCAACCTCAAAGGCTGAGAATGCAGAAGATGTATCACATGGGGAGACAGCAGGGAGATTCCAAAAGGAGTTTGGAGAGAAACGTGACCAACAGGGCAAAATAGAAAAGCAGCAGAAAAACCCTGAGGAGAAAACTGGAAAAGAGAAGAAGAATTCAGGGCCAGCCATGGTCAAGGAAAAAAAAACCACCACAGGAGAGAGAGGTCCAAGGGAGAAGGGTAAAGGGTTGGGAAGAAGTTTCAGTCTGAGTTCAAGCTTTACTACCCCTGAAGAAGTTCCAATGGGAACAAAGTCTCACAGATGTGATGAATGTGGTAAATGCTTCACAAGAAGTTCAAGCCTTATTCGCCATAAAATAATCCACACTGGAGAAAAGCCCTATGAATGTAGTGAGTGTGGGAAAGCCTTCAGTCTTAACTCAAACCTTGTCCTACATCAGAGAATCCACACAGGAGAGAAACCTCATGAATGTAATGAGTGTGGCAAGGCCTTCAGTCATAGTTCAAATCTTATCTTACATCAGCGCATCCACTCTGGAGAAAAACCTTATGAATGTAATGAGTGTGGAAAGGCCTTCAGCCAGAGCTCAGACCTCACTAAACATCAGAGAATCCACACAGGGGAGAAACCTTATGAATGTAGTGAATGTGGAAAAGCTTTCAACCGAAACTCATACCTTATTTTGCATCGGAGAATTCACACTCGAGAAAAGCCTTATAAGTGCACTAAATGTGGCAAGGCCTTTACCCGGAGCTCAACCCTCACTCTTCATCACAGAATCCATGCCAGAGAGAGAGCCTCTGAGTATAGCCCAGCCTCCCTTGATGCATTTGGAGCGTTCCTGAAAAGTTGTGTGTAAAACAAGAATTTGTCATCTTCCCCCTTTTGTTTCTAAATTATTCAGAGATGTGTGCCCATGGAGGGAAAATAAAACAGCCTCAACAGATTTTTTTTTAATCATACTTAAGTATCCTTATAGTTACATCAGCAGTATTCTGCCTTTGTATAGTCTGTGAGCAGGCAATTCTTCCGCACAGTCCCTGTAGGGAAAAGCTAGTCATATGGGTAGTCTACATGATACTTTAACACAAGATAAAAGCACACGCATGGTAAAATATCCAACTTTTCAGTAATGAGGATACCTTTAAAGCGCTATTAGACTTAGCAACCACAGCGTGTAATTGAAAGATTGAGATTGGCTCTTTGAATCTGAGATTAAGAAGCTACTTGCTGCAAGTCAGCCCTACTTGGCCAACATCTTGCTTATTTCTCAAAGAAGAGGGGCAGTTAAAACAAAAACTACATTGGGACATGCTGCTCAAGCTAGTTATATATACAATAAATTTTATATATGATCACTGGTAGCCTACCAAAGCTATAGAAATCTAGGACTGTGCAAATCAGTATCAAACCAAAGATTTCTATCTCTTCCGGGAAGAGAGGGTATGTGCACCAGTCTACACTTCCAAAGGACTACAACAATGTAGATGGTTCTATCCTCATCACTGAAATCAACTCTGCTGAAATGGCAACAATGATTCAAAACACTTCTCTCTGTTTTTGAAATCCCTAAAGCACTAGAGCACTCCTAAAAGCATTTCTCCACAAGTTAGCACTTGATTGCATACTGTCTTTTGATCCTTCATTGTTTCATATGTGAAGTTTTTATCATCCCTCCAAAAGAGATGCTTCAGTTGTCAAGGGTTATATTTCTATCTCTGACCGCACAGCACTGGGGATCGTGCTAAACATGTAAAGGGCACTCATTATGACTGACTTCTAGCAGGACTTTTACATTTATGATAAAGCCCAGTAAATGGTGAGTAGCCTGGCCCAACTTTTAAAAGAGGACATTTAGAGCCACACAGCATGCTAAACCTCTAGGGTTTGATACTATTTTTGTCCCAAATATAAATGAAAGGCGCTGGTTAGCTGCCCACCCAGACTTTGTAAACCTGGATCAATAAGTAAGTACCATAGAATGTCAGAAATGACTCTGCTGTTGTCATCTTAAAGAAGAAAAATGAACACTGACTAACATCAATTTCTTGGCATCTTTCTAAGACAAAGATCTTAGCCAGAATTCTCTTCAGTCACCTGCTGAACAATATGATGACTTGGGCAATTTCTGAATCATTTGGAACTTAGTAAGAGTTCAGAAGATGTGATTTTTGCTGCTTTTCAGGAAAGAGAAAGTTGTAAGGAATATTTTTTCTACACTTTTCCAGAAACTTTGCAAAAGCATTAGTCATCATTAGCTGGCAATTACTAAACATACTTTGTTGCCCTGAGACATTCACCAGCTTACCAAGACATGGACGGTTTTATCAGTCATAGTGCACAGTGTCTTTTCTGTTTCTCATCACTAAAGACTGAAGTGAGGTTGGAAACTAAATCTTTCCAATCATATGTGCAGGAAGATACAGTTGGCTACCTATAAGCTGATGATGGAGTTGTTTCACACATACAGGATACCCAAGTATTATGGGCTATGTGGGTAGCCATCAAGAACTTGGGTAGTGATAACTGCTAATGAGAGCATTCAAATGTGTGTGGACAGCCCTATAGAAACTTAGAAACATAAACCTAAGAACAAACCTGAAGATTGTCAGTGTGACCACACCCATAAAGGGAGAACCTCACAAACAGTTCGAGACTTTTAAGAAACAGTACTAAAACTGTCACTCATCAGTTACTGGCCAACAGCTAAAGACAGTGAAGCACATGGTTTTAATGCAGAGCCAATGAGGTGGGGGCAAATGTGGCCTCAGCTCCAGACCAAACTAAAATTCTGCAAGCAGTCAGTCTTTGGCCTCTCTGGCTTTATTAGTTGGACCAAGCACAACTTCCCTATAGCTTCTAAGCAGTTTCATCAGCATTGCCTGGGAAAACTTTAAGCAGTAAGTTAACTGGTCACCAGAATATTTCTACCCATTCAAGTGAAGAAAAACCCAAGAGATACTCCGGAAGAGTATAGCTAAGTAACTTTCATAGAAAAAGTTGGAGGTAGAAGTGCTTTAAGGACTTTTCATAGGAGTCTAAAAACCCAGAAAAATGGAGGTAGAAGTGCTTTAAGGACTTTTCTTCAAAGGGTGAGCCAAGTGATGTAAAAAAAGTGCTTTTGAGCAAGGACTTTTGCCCACTTGAAAGCAGCAAAAAGTAAAGTGCATAGCTCAAGTCTTCCATCCAAGCTCTGGCTTTTTAGAGAGGGAAATGACTTTGGTTGGTTCCACACTAGCCTCTTTTTTTAGCCACAACTACATGCTGATGAGATTTGGCCATCATTTTTTTGAATTTTATTTTTTAAGTGAAAGTTAAATACAACCTGGGCCCCACACTTAATCCCCATTTTCTTGGGACATCCTACTTCGTTGGATAGCCACTGGGGTTGCTTTAGGTCTTCAGCAGATGCAATCCCTGAACAACTATTTGAAGATGTGCTTTCTGAGGAAAACAGGCCACAACAGTTTTTTTAACCATTTGCATTGCATTCATTTATCAGATGCTCAATGCAAAGTGTAATTAGGTCATGGTCAAAAGCACTTGGAACATGTAATTAGGGCTCACGATAGTCATTCCAAAAGTTCTTGACTGGCTGAAGTCTGTTAACAGTACGAACTCTGTAGTTAAACATTAACATGCTAGTTGACCTAGTGGACGTTTTGGAAGAGTTTTTAAAATATATTTATACACCTTACCCTTGCCAGGAAAAGAAGTAAAATTCTTCAAATTGTGGGGTATTTGTTTCTACTCCAGCCTGCAAGGCTAAAACTTGAGAATATAGAGATAAGAGACATCTTTGATATGTAAGCCCTTTAAAGGCATAAAAGTAAAATTGTGCTAAATACGTGTAGAAAGATTGAGATGCTTGATATATGGGACTATTCACATCTTACATATATCAGATAATTTATTACAGAAAAGAAGAACCTCTTGAATGTGATAAATACGGCAAAGCTTTTAATCATATCTCAGCCCTTAGCATCAGAAAGCTTACACTGTAAATAAACCTTATTAATATATGTGAGGAAAACTTTCATGTATAGCATTCATTGCTTTGGACAGAAAGTGAATTCCATCAGGATGTTCCAGTCATACGATGTTATTTGAGAAACAGTGCAGAGGGAGCTCAGTCTTAACTCCAGAGGATCTACCGAAGGGAAAAATGTGGGGAAATGCTAAAAAAAAAAAAAAAAAAATCACAAAATGTACTTCTTACAAAAACTGTTAATGTTGAGTACTTCTATATATTTTATATGACCATAATGTCAGTGTGTGTTTTGTACCACCAGCTCCTGTTCTGTATATTACCTGTAAGCAGATGATGTATTTTATTTTAATCTATTTGACAGAACACATCACTCCAAAAGAGCAAACCTTTGGAGTGAGTAGTGAAGAAATTGGTGTGGTTATAGACAAAAAGTTCACAGAACTGAGGAAGGGGGGAAATGAAGGGAAAAGCTTCATAGTTTGGTGCTTATCACATCAAGAGAAAAGACTGGTAAATTTGTGCAGACAAACAGGCTACTGGGGCACTAAAATGGAACAACTGTACTATAAACATCTGCAGCTTGAGTTTTCAAAACTGGGAAGTTGACCTTTGAGCTGCAAGTCACCTTTGCAAGCAAAGGGAATGGATTCTCTTGTCAGTGGAGGGAGGAGGGTCTTCTCCATGAGTTGAGAGTAGAAAGTGTACTGGAATGGCCAGGAGGACCATATAAGCTGATCAGAGTCTAAATTCCTGCTTCCCCACTAACTCATAAATCTTTATGCCCAGGAAATTTGGGGACAGGGAAACACCAAGGTGAGCTTTTCCAAGAAAGAGGCACAGCTCCATCAGCTGTGGATTGTAGTAGGCTTGTCTGAAAAGGCTTGAGAAGCATTTTGCAATGCTCCTTTTGGCTATGCTTCCTATGTACCTTTCCTGCTCCACTTTTTCCCCCTGGATTTGTGATTATTAGAAAGTAGGGTTGAAGCTTCATACCTGTGAAAGATTTTTATTTTTAATTTTTATCCTAGAGTTGGTCACTTTTATTCTAAGTAGTCAAGCTGATCTGTTTATCCAAAGCCAGCTAACCAGGTTTATCCTGCCATCCTCATGGAAGATTTTGTGTATAAATTGGAGTAAAGTATAGAAATGTAGTGAAACAGTGACAGCAATACTTGCCAGAGGAGCCATATTTTTGTGTGTCCCACTCTGAGCAACTCAGAAATATTTATGAGGGGCTGGGGATTCCCATCAAGGGAAATCAAATGAAGGTCTGCAGATTTTTAAGTAAGATATAGAATGAGAGAAAAGAAAATTAAGTGGTATTATACCACTTAATTTATACAGTAGATCAGTTCATAGAAATTAGGGTAGATTTTTATTTCAACTACTACTGGAGAATTTAATAAAATGCATTATTGTTTGAAAAGTTTTCCTAATGTAGATTTAGGTTTCATTTTTAGAATGGATACACTACTGTACATTTAAAAGCAGTTACTTATTTTGCTATTCAGATTAATTTTTTATTATATCTGAAGATGAAATTATCTGTTTTACTTTTTAAAAGCTTTGTGAAACAAACTTGAAGTTATAGGGAGGTAAGCCATCTCCAATTCTGCAGGTCAAACAAAAGTCTGGGAAATATTTTGACATCCCATAATACAGAATATCTTAACATGAGAACATAATTTCATTTTGTCTGGTTCCATTTAATAGTGAACACTACCAATCTCGTGGGTTTTTTTCTGTTACCCTAAAACAGTGGAAAGGAAAGAGTGGGTATTATGTAGACTTCTAAATCATGGTCTGCTGTGATATTCATCTTTGAGATTCTCACCTCCATTTACTAAAGAATCATGACTCCAAATTACTCAGTAATCAGGAAAGTTCATTGGTCTTTAAATATTCTCCCTTCAGCAAGCACTCATTAAACAGTGAGGCTGTTTATGATTTTAAGATACAAAGAATGAGATCTGTGATTGACTGAAAGGTGGTATTAAAACTTGGATTTCATTCCAGTTTTAGGTTTGGGTTTTAAGTTCCTTTGGTCCTAAAACCAGAAGGACCAGGCAGCTGCAACAACCCTGAATTGCTATCTATCATTTAGTCCCCTGATAAGGTTAGGTGTGTTCCGAAGCAGAAGTGGGAAGAGGGTTATAAACAGCGCCTCTAGGCTGGGGAAGAGTCGTTAGGAGGCCTGAGGAGGGAGATAGGGGAGACTGTGGGGGTGTGTTGGGGTTAGTACTCACTTGCCTTCCCCTTGCCTAGACCAGGGAACAGCATCAAGCTGCTTTTTAAAGTTTTAGTCTGCCCTAGCAAGGACAAAGCATGTTAGATGTAGAGATGCTTCTGCTGGTAGCAGGGGTTATTTGGAAACATGTATGATGGGGTGGGGTGGGAGGAGGCAGATTGTGATTATGTAGGAAAATATCATCCTAAAAATATGAGGTTAGGGGGAAGGGGTGGGATATTCAAGCAAATCAGTAATTATTTTAAAATATGTATTTTTATTAACTTTTAGTTAATATAGATTATTACAACCAGGTCAGCATAAACCTTAATCTATATAGAGAGCTAACTCAGGCATTGTCTTGTTTATTTGTAGACTGGATAAAACAACCTGTCCTGTTTTATCAGTTCCCCAGCGTCTTTGTTAAAAATAAATTAGACCAAAAGAAGAAACCTACTTGTCTTTGTATACCCACAGAATTAAGTTATTGCTCTTAAATAACTTACATTTTTCATTTTCTTAAGCTCTGAGGAGTCCAGATGCTTGGTAGATGTACAAGAAGTGATTTTAAATTGAATTTGTCCATTTAAAATACTCATTAATATTTCTAGAAAGTCTTCTTTCAATAAATAATGGAATCTTAGAGGAAAAGTGGGGTTTCTGTTTTTACATTAGGGAACTCCTATTGAAAATAATTTGAAGCCTTGAGGTCTAAAATTTCAATCATAAAAGTAATGACAGCAAAATAAAATTAATGCACATTTATAGTCAATGATCCATCTTAGGAGACCCGTGGCATCTTGACAAATGTTAGAGTAATGAGGCTGGGGTGGAAATTGTGGGGATTTGTAATGAATATTCTCTTCATGTTGTTTCTTTTCCGGGTCATGGTAAAACAATAAATTATCATCTCTAGGTGGCAGTACTCATGGTGTTTGTTTTTTGTCATCCTTGGTTGGATAAATGCACATGTTGGGAGTAAAGAAAAAGCCTAATTTCAAAGTTAAAATTAAAAACTGGGGGGCTTAGCACTGTGGCTCATGCCTGTAATCCTAGCACTCTGGGAGACTGAGGCAGGTGGATGGCCTGAGCTCGCAAGTTTGAGACCAGCTTGAGCCAGAGCAAAACCTCGTCTCTAAAAATAGCCAGGCATTGTGGCAGGCACTTGTAGTCCCTGCTATTGGGGAGACTGAGTAAAAAGAATCGCTTAGGCCCAAGAGTTTGAGGTTGCTGTGAGCTGTGATGTCATAGCACTCTACCAGGGGTGACAAAATAAGACTATTTCAAAAAAATAATAAAAACTGCAACTGTGATCCACAAATAAAATCCTGACACACCCATCTTCATCCATCACGAACAAGACCCCACAGTTAAGCTCATGGATCAGCATAGCATAATAGTGAAATGCACAGGCACGGAGGCCAGTTTGTCTAGTGCTAACATCCTTCATCTGCCACATACTTTCTGTATGACTTTGAGTAAGTTTCTTAGAATGTGCTAGTTTCTTCATCAGTAAAATGGGCATAGAGTTATTACATGAACTAATACATGTGAAGCACCCATGATAGTGCCTGATTGAAGTATCACAAAATTTTAGCTGGGTGGCAACTGTGGCTCAGTGGGTAGGGCACTGGCGCCATGTATCGATGGTGGCGGGTTCAAACCTGGCCCCAGCCAAACTGCAACAAAAAAACAGCCCAGCATTGTGGCAGGTGCCTGTAGTCCCAGCTACTCAGAAAGCTGAGGCAAGAGAATCACCTAAGCCCAAGAGCTGGAGATTGCTGTGAGCTGTGACATTATAGCACTCTACCGAGGACAACAAAATGACTGTCTCTTAAAAAAAAAAAAATTAGCTATTGTGTCCTCCATCGGCCTCACTTTTCTCTTGAATGTTCGTTCGACCCTTCTGAAAGTCTCCCTTTTTTAAATGAAACATGCTGACAGTATCCTCCATATCATGAATCCCTAAAACATATAACCTTCAAATCAGATCTTTATGAAAATTGGGGACCCAAGCTCTGATCCCATTTCAGTCCTGGATATTGGGACCAGCATTGCAAATTGTAGAGATAAGCACCCCATGCTCAGACATGGCAGTTCGCTTCAATGTGCTCCCCCAAGAGAATGATTCTGAGAAAGATTTCTTCAAAGATTGAGCTTCTGCACCTGCCTATAGATATGCAGAAATATGCAGAAAGCCTCTCAAAAAAGAGATCTGGAGAGTCAGTCCCGGGTCACAGCTTCCAGCTGTCTTTGGGCGTTGTCTTTGGGCGTTGGGTTCTGTTCTCTGTCTTCTTCCTTCATTAACATTATAATCTCTAGTTTCAGTTTGGGCCAGCAAGAACAGACAGTCAGTCTCTTTTATGTTTTTACTCCAAACAAAATCAATTGTATGTGTGTTCCTCAGCCTTCACATTGAATTATAATCTTAATGGTAGCTTCCTAATTTTACTTCACTTCTTTGTATCTGTGTTAAATTCTTACTGAATGTTTGAAAGTATATAAGATAATCAGTAAAGTCAGGCCTGGTTGCTGACCTGAGCGAGTCTCGACTTCCCTTCAAATCAATCATCTTGTGTGCAGTTCCTTTTCCCTGTGTCTCCAATCAGAGGCTCTGAGAACGCTTTCAGCAAATGGCTTCTGTGATTGTTTCCAGTTGCCCAAATTCCAGCCCAGTTCTTTACTTGCCCCAATCGAACAGTTGATTTGCAATCCCAGATCCTCCAAGGAAGCAAATTTCCCTTGGAGTAATGGAAATTGCTTGTTCCGAACTACCTTTCCCCCTTCACAGTAGTTACCATCCCTCCCTTTAGGTATCCTGTCTTCAGCCTAGGCTCCATTTCAGGTTCTTGAACATGGGAGATGATAGGCTGACTCTATCCTAGCTAGGTTAGCTTTCAACTGTGCCCTGCACTGAGTCCTAGGCTCCATGTTTTGAAAGAACAGACCAACCCCAGCATGGTAAAGGGTTGACAGTTTCAAAACCACCTCATGAATACAATTGTTTAGGTTAGTAAAGAAAAAACTCACCAGAGACCGCAGTCTTTGCCATCAAATATCTGGGCCTGTTATGTTTGAAGAGGGATTTGATCTGTTCTGCATGATTCCAATAAGTAGAACTAAACCCTTTCAGCAAACAGTATCAGGCCATATTCTGGGTGTTACAAATGATAAAAGATGTGATGATGGCAGCTGGCCCTCTCCAGGGAGATCACAACATAAAAAGGGTCAGTGATGGGTGAGTCACACCTAACCCTAGGAGACTTACTTTAAGCCAGAGAGGCGACCAGAAATAATATTGTATCTAAGAGTTTTAAGGATTTAAGAATCCCTTACTAGGGCAGCACCTTGTAGCTCAGTGAGTAGGGCGCCGGCCCCATATACCAAAGGTGGTGGGTTTGAACCCGGCCCTGGCCAACCTGCAACAAAAAATGGCTGGCGTTGTGGCAGG